GCAAGCGAAAGGTCTCGGGTTCGATTCCCGATTCTGCGACTTTCGGATCTATATTTTTCTCTCGCACTTTATTTCTTTAGGGGGAATAGGGGATACATGGAATTAAAAATCTCTTGTAGAGATTATTCCAATTTTATATCTTGGCCGTGTCCAAGTAAAAATTTGGTGCCTTGTGCACAGGTATTTAATTCTAACGAAAAAATTTAGTTTCGTTTAGAATAACGCACTGTCATCCGCGATTTGGCTCTTATTGCCTATCTTATATATGTTAAATTTATATTTATATATTACAGAGCCTAGTTAAACTCTTAATTTATACACGCTGGCTTAAAGGCGTTTATTTACCAACATTAATATATATAACAGAGAAAAGTATAGAATCGAAAGGATCTGAATAGCTCAGTTGGAAGAGCAGTCGCCCGGCAAGCGAAAGGTCTCGGGTTCGATTCCCGATTCTGCGACTTTCGGATCTATATTTTTCTCTCGCACTTTATTTCTTTAGGGGGAATAGGGGATACATGGAATTAAAAAAAATCTCTTGTAGAGATTATTCCAATTTTATATCTTGGCCGTGTCCAAGTAAAAATTTGGTGCCTTGTGCACAGGTATTTAATTCTAACGAAAAAATTTTAGTTTCGTTTAGAATAACGCACTGTCATCCGCGATTTGGCTCTTATTGCCTATCTTATATATGTTAAATTTATATTTATATATTACAGAGCCTAGTTAAACTCTTAATTTATACACGCTGGCTTAAAGGCGTTTATTTACCAACATTAATATATATAACAGAGAAAAGTATAGAATCGAAAGGATCTGAATAGCTCAGTTGGAAGAGCAGTCGCCCGGCAAGCGAAAGGTCTCGGGTTCGATTCCCGATTCTGCGACTTTCGGATCTATATTTTTCTCTCGCACTTTATTTCTTTAGGGGGAATAGGGGATACATGGAATTAAAAAAAAAAATCTCTTGTAGAGATTATTCCAATTTTATATCTTGGCCGTGTCCAAGTAAAAATTTGGTGCCTTGTGCACAGGTATTTAATTCTAACGAAAAAATTTTAGTTTCGTTTAGAATAACGCACTGTCATCCGCGATTTGGCTCTTATTGCCTATCTTATATATGTTAAATTTATATTTATATATTACAGAGCCTAGTTAAACTCTTAATTTATACACGCTGGCTTAAAGGCGTTTATTTACCAACATTAATATATATAACAGAGAAAAGTATAGAATCGAAAGGATCTGAATAGCTCAGTTGGAAGAGCAGTCGCCCGGCAAGCGAAAGGTCTCGGGTTCGATTCCCGATTCTGCGACTTTCGGATCTATATTTTTCTCTCGCACTTTATTTCTTTAGGGGGAATAGGGGATACATGGAATTAAAAAAAAATCTCTTGTAGAGATTATTCCAATTTTATATCTTGGCCGTGTCCAAGTAAAAATTTGGTGCCTTGTGCACAGGTATTTAATTCTAACGAAAAAATTTTAGTTTCGTTTAGAATAACGCACTGTCATCCGCGATTTGGCTCTTATTGCCTATCTTATATATGTTAAATTTATATTTATATATTACAGAGCTTAGTTAAACTCTAAATAAATTAAACTCTTTCAAACGCTAGTCGTAAAATAATTCTGTCAATTTATAATATATAAATGTAGAATAACGTGTTAGTCATTATATCATTTATTACGGTGCTTCTTTTTAGCTATGTGAGTTTAAAGAAAAATTATAATTTCATAATAATGTTATATTATATATATGGACAACTATTAATATCGCGCTATCCACGGTTGGTTTGCGCTATATAGCGATTTACAACACGAACCATAGAGCCGAGCATAAAATAATCTCTGTCCGAGCATTAGCCCGCCTTTCCCACCCTCTTTTTATGTGCATGTACCGCTTACTGAATAGGCGCCATATACTAAGTGGATTTTATGCACGCCCTGAATCCAATTATTCTGAATAATTTATCGTCGAATCGTAGACGTTAATGTCATCAGACTGAATTAGGCAAGCTTTTCATAATGGTCCTATAAAAATAGTGTCGCATATGGCCCGTTCACCTTTTACCCCATTAATGAATCATCACTGTCAGTAGCGTAAATGGAGCTGATAATTACATTGTCTCGAATCATTGATCGGTCACGAAAATGAGGCTCTGTTTTGCGCATCTCGTCGACATATTAATTAGCTTTGAAATAATAATATGTTAAATCCGCTGTATAGTATGGCAAACGGTTCTTTCCTGTGTAATGTATCTAAATTATTAATATATGGAAGAACGGAATAAAAAGTGAGAATATTGATCAACCATCTAAGAAGCGTTTCCTTAAAAAGAAATTAAAAAATCGATTGGATTTGTCCTACAAACTTAAAAGTCAACATTTTTCCATATTTAACCGCATATATATTGAAGAATAATGTCTGCGGATTTTCAAAGCATTATTGTTTTGCGAAACACTCCAAGAGCTGGACATGACATATTTATTAATAATACAATTTTTTTTCATAGGAAAGTACACACGAATTTGTGCGCGACATTAATTAAATTTTATTTCCATTGTTTTTTGGCGATGTTACTCGCGCATTATTGACTGAATTTTTGGCGTATGATAACGCGATCGGTTTTTATATTTCTATTTATAAATATCTATTTCGAGCTTTTAGCACGTTCGTTGAACATTGGCACGCGTGTGTCCGACGACATGAACGGAAATAAATGCGGAAAAAAAGGGATAGTCAAATGGATACGTGCAATGCTGCGCGTATCGGATACTCTTTTGAAACACACATTTCTGTATCGTGCAGTTTTGCAATAAGAGTCATCTGGTTGGTGGTCGATTTGTATTCAGTCGCGGTGTGTAAAGAGAAACTATCTCGACATCGGATTAATTGGATAAAAAAAAATACAATTCAATTGTCAACCGATTTCGTGTGTTACGCAATTCGACATATCAATTCTCGCGGTATCGAGAATCCCCGTTGTACTTTGTCGAAGTATCTCGACAATATTAATATCTAAAAGACGACTGCAGAAGATTTTAAAGACACTGTAATTTCTCTCAGACATTTGATATCTTTTAGACGTAAGCTGTAAGCTTTCGTATTATTTCGTACATGCGATGGTAAGTCACATTATTATCTGTGTATTGGTACATACTTTTTCTTACTAGAAGACTTTAAGATACTTAAATCATCAGTATTGAGACAGTGGTGCAAATATATTATTTTAGATATTTTTTCTAAATAAAATATTGCGACTAAACTTTAAATATACACGTTTCTTGCGACTTATCGCTATCTTTTGTAAGGACACGTAATTACACGGTCATAGTGACCACAGCGTAAAATCACAGTCTATACCACATTTAACAGTCAAGGTACACTAAGCTGGTGCGCTAAGCCGGCGTAAAGTGGGTCGTGTAAACGTTGTCATTGACGTGCAATACTGTGCCATACTCTGGACGTCGTATTGCGTCTCATGACAAAGCCTTGATTTGTCCCAGTGTTTATGTGACAAACAGTATAGCGTTAATCTAAATGTTCCGATAAAATAAATAACTATACAGTAGTATAAGTAAACGCGATGGGAACAATCAGAGAATTAATGTTTTATTATTGATAAATTACAACTGATATCTCACATATTTTATATCGTATATTATATCGTTATAAAGTATTCTGACTATAACACGCTTTTACGTGTTCGTACAGTGATGATTGCGTGCAAGAATGTTTTTAGAATCTGCACATTCGTTGAATTTAAAATTGCTGCAACATCGATTTTCAAAATGTCTGACGTATACAATAATAGTATTTTATAGTGCTGAATGTGAAATATATTTCTTTCCACTATGTTTTATCATTTGTCATAAAATGATATAACGTCTTTCTGAAACTTTCAACTTTTACATTTCGGTAAATTGCCGTTGCAGCTACTATTTTATTTCGATGGAAAAATTTAATAAAAATAAATTATTTGTAAATTTGAACAGTAATTTAAAAAATTATAACGAAAAAATTCTATATAATAGTGAAAATAATACTATGCATTAAAAATGATAGCTTGAAAAACAGTTTATTGAACAGTTTATTTATTTATTTATTTACTTATTTTTTTTTTTCAAATAAAATTTTATCCATTTTTCTGTTCAAGTGTTAGTGCGGTATAACAGTCGCGATTGCGGTAGCTTCTTTAAATATTGTTCTTTCATTCCCTTCCATCTATCGTTCGTTCATTCATGATTATTCTAAAAGAGCTTTTCTAAGGAAATGATGGTCCCACATCGCCGCGATAAGGAACGCGAGAATGCCGTCGTGAGCGTTCCTGCGGAAGAAAATGTCATCCGTTCGCAATGAAGCAGAATTTTTCGCCTCGCTTCTCTTAACGGTAAGTTAGAATTTCTCTCGAGAACGCGGAACTAAGCGAGCCCGAAATTCTCGCAGACGTAAGTGTACTCGGCGCACTTGTGCCACGTAAAGGGAGAACCTGACGTAGAGAAGCATTAGGAACTATTTATCAGTTGACTTTCCATTTCTCGTGTATTCCCTTCAGGAAGAAATAGTGCTTGGTCAAGGAAAAAGATTTCGAGTTACATTAAACACAAAAGTCGGTTAGGTTTGCGGAGTAAAAAGTCTGAGAAAAAAATATAACTATACATTCTTCATCACAGGCTCAAAGTGCGGGAATTGCATCTGAGAGAGCTACCCATTTCAGAGTAAATGACGTGGCTCGAGCAAATTAGTTTCTTACTTGCTTAATTTATTTATAAACCTGTCGAATTACTTTAAGGAAACTTACGGTTTGGTAAAAAAAATTTTAATTAAAGTTGAGTTAGTCGCAATTGATGTTTGTAGAGAATCTTTGTAAAATGGGCAATATATCTTGTTATACTCATATGCGTATGTTATACTTATAACACAAATAAATAGAATAAAATTTTGCTTTTCAAGCTCTTAATTTTTCAATTACTAAAAAATTGTCTATTACACTTACCTCGTTTTGCACGCCTTTACATTGAAAGTTATCGGCGTGCGTTACGCAGGATATTTATATTGCAGTCCCATTTTGTCGTGGAAGAATCCTGTAACAAAAGAGAAAGTCGATAATAAACTATTTTTGACTTGCAAAAAAGTTATAAAACAGTTCTTGTTTATTACAAAAAAGAGAAAAAGAATAATAAAATAAACATCACAAATTCTCTGGTACAAGATAATAACAAACATTTGAATAAATTTTGTGATTCAAAATTAACTCTACATTTAAATCATTGCGATTTTCTCTCGGATTGATGTTTACGCTAAAAACAGATATGGAGATTAAAAAGACTTGACTATACATTTACAAATTACATTTTAAAATTACGAAAAGAGTCAACTACGCACTTATTGTCGAAGAATAATGGAAGATTAAAAAAAAAAGGAAAAAACCAAGGAATATATTTTTTTTAGACGAAAAATTGCAGGTCGCGCACCTCAAGTTGTTGCACGCGATCTTTGATATTTGGTACCATATTAAATTCACGAAAGAATGCTTTGCAACTAGCGATTTTTAACCCTGCGTGCTCGACGTTGCGATGTATCGTAGACATGTACGTAGCCCGCAGACGTAGGTAACTGCGTTAGTCCCCTTCGTGACGGCCGGTAGGGTCCTTTGAGAGTGGCATGGGTGCCGAATACCAATCAGTTATGTCAATTGGCCCTAACAAAGTAATGAATGGTAATTGCAAACCGCGTCGGCCTCGCACCATCCCCTTCCATCCCAGTACACCCTATCCGCCCTTCAACCGATTTCAAACACGCTGCCCTCTCTGAAACTGCCCACTGCGACTCGCATCCATCGCGAGTGGATCCCCATACCGATCCCCAATCGATTTTAAACCGTCTAATCGGATTTTCGCGCGGGACACAGACAGGCGTCGGTAATCATCAACGAATTAATGCACAAATCGGAATCTCGTGCGAGTTGTCAAAAGAATTTGTGAAACACGGACGGACAATTGGAAATGTTTCTCTCAAAGTGAGCTCAAATGTTTTAATTAATGTTTTAACAGTACAATATTTTAAACGCATATAGAAACATATTGTTTAACAAGAGATATATACATTGCGGATTGTATATAAACATATATATATATTTTTTTTATCGAAGAATATAATTGAAATACAGATTAGTCAATGGGAAATGTCAATACTCTCATATTTTTTAAATATTTTAAACGTTGCGTTAATCGTAATTTTTAATACAAACGAGACAATTAATAGAACTCGTCTTTCGTCTCTAGTCTGTGGCCTATTATCTATGATCTGTGGTCTATAAGCTTTAGTCTCTCATTTTTCGTTTTTGGTCTCTGATCTCATATGAAGTTTGTGTTTCCACAGTTTCATTTCAAAAAATTAATATTTTTTAATTATCGCCATTAACAAGCAAGAATCGATAACTTGTTCGAGCGCAGTTGCAATCCTCTGAAGCATTATATAATCGACCGTCCACATTTCTTCAGCACCTCATCGATATATTATGCATGCCGTAAAACAAACTCGTATAAAAGCAAGCCATAAAGGCCCTAGGTAGGTCAGCGTGCAACTCCGCAACGTCCCGTGTAATCGATGCCTCCTCGAAAGTGGGGACGTAGCGTTGTAATATCGTGTTACTGCTGCAGGTATTCCGGGCGTGGAAATCTGCCCAGGGAATTGCATATGTCGTCATTGTGTTGTCAAATATTCAAGTCAATCTAAAGTGTTCATCGCACTCGCGGTTAATTATATCCCGAACTAATCTAACCGGCTCGTGAGCAATTGAACAGCAAAATACGGAAAACAAGTTAAATCCATAACTTGCGTTACAGTTATTGACCGAGATATACGCGAATTGCCAGATTTAAATTTGTTGATAATACGAAATCTCGACCACTACAAAGATTCGGAAGCGTCAGTTGCTGTACAAGCTATTAATTATATAGCGAAATATTAATTGTGGAAACCAATTTCACGATTTTATAGAATTCCGCAGGTAATGTACGTATTGTAATTGCCAAATATCGGAATATTATTTTCGCGTCACGTTTCAAATTGGGATCAATGTTACAAAAATTGAATAATTATAAAAATATAATACATCTCAAATTCAACGGCTAATCAACATCGCGAAACTAATTCAGATTTATACCTAATTTTAATATAAGAACGTGATATCTTCATATTGCAAATTTACTTATGAAAAGAAAATTATTTATTCACATTTAATTATGTTAATTACATCAATTATGCGAATAATACTCTTAAATTTGAGAAAAGAGAATTTTTTTACATTTATGAAGTGAGTGACATTCACAGAAAGAAGGATGGGGGAGAAAGATGAAAAAAATATATTACTCATGTACCATCCTATTGAAAATAATATCTTCTTGAAAATGAAACGTTTTTAAAACTAGGAGCTATAATATATCTTGCTATATATTATACCAATAAAACTCTAGAACCACATGATTTATGCAGAAAATGCACATTGCACGCGTGATATAACTTCAACTGGGTTGTTTGTTGATTCACAGTGGTCACGAGTTGGACTTGATATTTAGATAAAGGAGGTTAATTTTATATACTTTGCGTGCGCAAAAGCGAATAGTGAATATATACAGACATATATCAGTACGTGTAAAGTAAATAAACTATAGCTTTTCTGTTATATCTAGCATAGCTTAATAACGAAAGTTCTTTTTTTATAAGTTAAATTAGTACTATATATATATATATATATATATGTTTGCTTCAAGTTAAAATTTTAATATTTAAACTGATTTTTCCAGCTAAACTAATGCGGATTTCGGTACATATATGTATATAATAAACTGTAAATGCACGCGAATTTTGCATAAAGCGCGAATTTTGAAGTGAAAATCTCATATGTGAATCTCTCATATGATATTTCATTTAATTCTAAAAGTAGCGAAACATTAAAATTCGTTTATATATTCGGCAAATTGCTGCAGATCAAAGTGGAAATATGGCGCTAATGCACAATTTAGCTACAAAGTAATAGACGTAAAATAGATAATTATTACACATATGCTATATATATATATTTGTGATTTCGATTTTGCAGAATAATTTACACTTTCATATTTAGAGACGGTTTAATTATATTTCATATATTTGTGTTATTATTTGCTTTGAAATAAATTTTAATACTTTGTATATACATATATATATATATATATATATATATATTTGTAATCGTATGTATATATAATTGATATTATACTCTAATGATACAATCGATTCATGTATTATGGAATTATATTGAACAAATCGGCGATATAATATTTTCTAATTTTCATTAAAAAAAAAAATAAAAATTATAAAATCAGAATATAGAAAAATATAATCTTATGTATAATATGTATGTCTACATGTTGATACTGATACAATATGAAAAGAGCTGAAAGTTTCCAGATCAATATTTCGCGACAAAAATTTCTTGATAATAGAATTTCGCTTAAGTGTTCTCCATAATTACTTCTTGTTCGGACAATGACGCATCGCTTGACATTATCGTCAAAGAATAGTAGCTGTCAGCAAAAATGCATTTTGTCGCGCGATTGTGTTCTACATTAAAAAACATTTTAAAAAATACTCTAATGACCTAATTAATTACGCGAGGAAAAACTCCGGTCCGGTAAGTTTTAAAGTCTAGAGGAAGTGACTGCGAGAGAGAAAGAGAGAGAGAGAGGAAAAGAGAAAAGCACCTCTCTTTATTGTACGCTTGGCACAAGTTTCGTGAGACCCTGGAACACGATATCGAGCTCGGTCGAGCTTTTTCGTCGGCGTGCGAGGTCACATAAACAGTACGATGCAGCTTAAAGAGGAACTTACGGAGAAATACGTTTGCGAAGAGGCGCGTTGCTTGAATTACGGAGAAACGCGTGTCACTGCCGCGCAATCTCGGCGAGATTTTTCTCATTATTTATTAATCTTTGAACAGCGTACCGGGGGTTCAATGTACCTCACCACTTTCTCGCTTCGCTAGATTTGTCGTATAACGGAGAATATCACGCACTCTATATGTAAATGTGACTAATCTTTTCAAATTTTTATAATCTTGCGTTTCTTTTTGTGTGTTTCAATAAAATGCACTTTTAAATAAAATTAATCTCCACAGTTCGTAATATTGCTTGTCGGTAATATTAATTTACATGGACTTAATTTGACGTCATAAAATTATCTTCAAGTTTTTTCTTCTCTTTCTTTCATATTTTTATCTAAATAATGTATCAAAAATTAACTGCCTTATTAATTACAATATTTGCCAATTTTTACAAATTATATTTTTCTTTCTTTAATTACGCAAAAATTATTATCGTGTTATTATTCATATAACTTGCAGGTTGAAAATATATAGTTTTAAATTTATATAATTTGAAAATTTATAATTAGAATCGGTTCTCTCTCTCTCTCTTCGTTAGAGAATTACAATCTAATGGAATCGCATATGGAACCTTGGATCCTATACATTAATTAAATCAAACTACTTTAAATCGGCTTTACGATTTTACGACCATATTCAGATTTAGCTTTGCTTACGTGACCAATGCACTATATAAATACCTATATAAAATATTAAAACGAGTGCGTGCGTAGGCTTAATAACATGCGCATAAAAATTTCAAATACAATTGAATTGCATCAACAAGAAATAGAGATACAACGAAACATATTTGGAATTCGATTTTATTCAGGAAATAAGTCCAGTATCGTCATTTTCGGACAATGCCAGAGAGTACGATGCAAGTTCCTAATACCCCTCTGTCATGTTACAATGCAAAATCTCCATGATTGAAGACTACATAATGCGAAGACCGACGCGTATGTATTATAGTTCACGAAATCCGGAGCTATTCGAAGGTAACCGCTTTAAGGTTGAACCTTTATCCTTCGATATAACGGACGCGCGCGCATGTGCGGATACTATTCTCCAAGGTACTGCAAATGAAATTCTATCTGGATATCCTTTGCTAGCGAAACCTCAAGGTCTTTCCGCGAAAACATATCCCTTACGATGCTTTCTCTCTCTCTCTCTCTCTCT